AGAGAGAGAGAGAGAGAGAGAGAGAGAGATGCAGAAATCGAGGCTTCCTCGTTACAAGGACATGCGCATTAGTTTGCTTATCCTGTTGTTGATGAAACGCTGCTATACATAGCTAATATACATTTGATGAGATGGACAACCAATCGCCGCGTTTTAATTGATAGTGACGAGGAGGATTCAGGAGGATGTGAATTAAGTGATCGTTGTCCTTTTGTAAGAGGTTAGTGTCTGTTAATTACTGGTTATTCATTTCTCTTCGCTTCTTGCAATTGCAAAGTCTAATTAACATGACACTGTTGATAACCAAAAGAATAATTCCAGATCGCTAGAATTGAAAAGTTACCCTTTGTTATGTTTGGTACGTTGTAATATTTTGTTCATGTGAATTTCAGTTAACAGAGAAACAATTTTAGTGTAGCGTGATATATTTTAAATTCGACGTCTTCTCAGTTTCCTTAAGGAAGTTTGATTTTATAACGACACCGAGACTTCAAATAATTTTACACAAACTCGTTTAATGTCGTTGATACACTAACCAAAGTGTAAAATTAACATCTCGTTGGACCATGTAGCCCATATGTGAACGTTTCCTAGTATTTTCCTTCAGAATGAAAAAATAATGAGGGTAAATATTCCGCTTCACTGGTCTGCACATGCGTTGTCCTATGACTTCCCGTTTCCTCTTCGCAGAATTTAGGTACGATAGTAATATATCTGCGTATATTCCTAAGCTTTTAGTTTAAAGGGAGAAGTGTGAGGTCAACAGACTTAACGTGACCCGCTGAGCTAAATGGTAACAGAGAAGACTGCGGCGGGTGCTATAACGAGTTTCACAGAAATCTGTTCGCTACTGTAGGAAAACATATTCGTAGAGCATGTAGGCAAATTTTGGCTTTTCAATTGTTATTCTACAAACGAATCAAATATTCTAATTAACAAGTTTCTTACAATTTATGAACTCTAGTTGAAAACAAGCGAGGAAAACGATCTTACGAAGTGCATGGCATTCCTCAAGATCCTGCAGTAAAGGCTTTTACGTCACGAGGCTAAAGCCCAAGTAGCTTTTTATATGTGCACCACGAAGAGACTCTTTTTCCCGTCTTGGACCCACGCGTGTTTATTTTATAAGTCTTCCGAAGAGATTATAAACTGCAGTTTATGTTCTCTATGTCGTCTTCGGTCTTATTCAACAAGCTCATGGCTCAGGGGTGTGACGACAAGGGGATCGCCTTGTTTTTGTTGCAAACTCCATTTCTACCGTCTCTCGAGTCGGGTCTTGGATCGTTCGGGGTAAACGCGTGGGCTCAAATCTTTAACGCGTGGTGGTAATCGAACTTATCACGGTACTATGAGGATGATGTGTTATTCGTCACCAAGCTCTTATCAAAGCTCGGAAGTTATCTGCTCTCAATATTTATATCTCTGTGTCAGATTTCAAGATCGTTACTTTGGTTTTAATCTCATTGTCTCATAAGTACGCGCAAAATCCCTCGGTCAGTAATCTTCCTTAAACGATTGCGGTATAGTGTAATATGACATCACGTCTCACTGAACATAAGTTAGGGGTTTTCCCGACTATCGCTTCCAGACGAAATTTGACGGTTTCAAATTTGCATATTTGCATTGAAAGCCGTTAATGCCGCCCATCTAAATTCGTTCACTTCGGCAAAGTTGCGATGTGAACGTTGTACGTCCTCTTACTCCAACGATTAGGGGGCAAAAGATTTAGACACACGAAACATTTTTCAAGCTAACGTAGGTGAGTTTGTCCGGGGTTTGTCAATTTTTATATTTGTTTACATTTCGCTTTAATTAATCGAAGTCGAACAGGCCTCGACGTGTTCTGAAAATCGTAATTCTGATCGCATCTCGTAGAATTGTTCAGTCACATGATTGTTGTAAGGGAAAGACCCGCTCGAAGCCTGACTTACTGATGTGTGATGCGTATATTTCCTTCAGGTCCCTGTACTTCATGTTTTCTCGTGATCGTTTTTTTTTTTAACTGAATACGACCTTTGTCTGTCTTCAATTCACGCGCCTTCTTAGTTGTGCGCCTAACAAAAATGGCGAGTGACAAAGGGATTATTCAGTTCAAAAAACACACATGAGGGTTTCTCACATACAAATTGCTTGTAAACACTGGAACTTTCAAAGCTTGATGTTACTTTCTACGTTTTTAGTGGGAGGAATTTTCAAGACAAGTATTAGAAACTGGTGTTCTTGAATAACATTTTGACTGTCTGATTTTCAGTCTAGGAGACGAAAAGAATTTTTTACCCTTCCTTTCTGAATGAATGTTTTGATTGCAACAACGCAGACATGCAATTGAGACAGAGCGTGTTATTTATTTAAGGTTGCGGCTAAATAGCAGGGCACGTTCTGGAATGGTTAATAAATGCTCTGCAGTCAAAAATTTACATATAAGTTCCGCTTAGGGTATAAGATGTTTGTTCGGTAATGTCAAGCGATTTCAAAACGTTTGGAAAACATTTCAGATCAGATTTCCGGGCACGGTCTGGAACTGAGAACAGATGTATTGGATGTTACTGTTTTCTTTTGAAATTCTATGTTAATTGTGCGAAATAGAAATTTTTCAGCGGCGATTATCAATATCCACGCTTTCTTTCAAAAACTGTTCAGAGACAAATTTTAAGGAACGGAATAAATTGATGATAACGAAAGAAGTGATACATGACACTTAAAGAATGTTTTAAAAGCAAATGTTACTCATTTCATAAACAAGTGATTAAGTGTTACTTTAAATTTCTTGAGATTAATGAAAGGGTTATTTTAATGTTTACTTCAAAATCAATAAATTGGAAGTTTCTAAGAAGTTAGCCGTTAAGCGCTTGAATTTTTCAGGGTCCAAGTCACTTCTCAGTTCCGAACGGCAAAGGAACCCAGAGTTGAACATCCATTTAAAAAAGGTTTTCATTTTATTTTTCGAAAGTAATGAAGGTTTGCTCAGTAGAGAAATCTCGATCAAACAGAGCACTTGCCACGATTTTCAATTTAGCGGCTGCAGCGAAACTGTCAAAGCATATCAAAGAATAATTTCATGACCATAAGGCGCGTCCAGCAGGTAATGAATCTGTTAGGTTTCAAGTGAAAATTTGCATGAATATTGGTGGCAAGTGTGCAGCCAACTCCCCAGCTAAGACAAAGGAATATCCGAGGATATCACCTAAGTTATGCTGGCCAATTTTCAAATCTTACGTTCACTACGATAATGCAAATGTTACATAAAATGAGAAATAATTGTTTGTTCATAGAGTAGAACCAGAGAACACCCAAAAGAATACACCCCACGCCGAAAACAGTGAGCTGTTCGTAAACCCCACGCGCTGCAAAATATTTGAAGGATAAGAAACATAATAGCCTCTATTCTGCGCGAAAATACGTTCGTATGTTTGTCCTTGAACAGTATCTGTTGCTCGAAGGTCACTTCTTTCCTGGTCATCAATTCATTTCGTTCTTTGAATTTTGAACATTTTTGATAGAGAACTTTGATGTCGATGAAAAATATATGTAAATCTAAAACCAAAAAAAAAATTATAATTTCCCTTTTAACTTTCTATTTACCGTTTTATTTTCCCATTCTCGATTCCCTATTCGTGCTGTTAGTGACATTCTGATTGTTTCGCAAAATAAACAAAAATTTGCCTTTTGCACCCGCGCCCTAATTTCACTAGTTGTGCGGTGTTTTTACGAGGCCGAAGGGAGAGTGACAAAACAGACGATGAAAAATACTCGGCGATGCCACACACCAAAACGACTGATAAGTTATTTATTATCGAACCACAGGCAGCCCAAGCGCCTGCTGTGAGATGATCATTTCGCGAAATAAGAGTCATGGCGAAATTATAAGAGTTTGTATTGGAATATTTACAACCGCTCTAAGGAATGAAAAATCCAATCAAATTTTCCATGAAAATACCTCACTTTACTTTCACAGTGCATTGCTTGTTATCTGACCACTTGCTATGTTGAAAAGAACCCATTTTTGCGAGTTATTTCTCTCTAAGTTTACTTGATAAGTGCTTCTCTCCATTACTAAAATTAATTCTGTAACGTTCAATGTATGATTCACACATATATTTATGATGGATCATTTTCCCAACAGATTGTGTCAGCGTTACAGAATTTGTATGATAACTGACCTCTTAATTTGGCAGCTATACATCTCTTGTTTTAGATATTAGTGCCACAAGCTTTAGCGTCGGTGATCCCATTCTCAAATTGAAATTGGGTGATTAAACATGGGTTTATGACTAAAAATCGCCAAAATTAACACTAGAGGCCAAAAATATTTTTATCCTCAAACGTATTGTTAGGATAGGTCTTTTCTGTGATAGTACGTTTGTCGACATACAATGTTGTCGATTGGAGATATTTGTGATTAAAAAACCCAATTTGTTTGTTTTGGGAATAGTTGCGTGACACAGTTAATGATTAACTGCTATTAATTGGCAGAAGTTATATCAAATTACCCCAACTTTAGGAAACTGTTTCTTTAAGGTTCAAACAACCATTGGCCATCGCATTCTGTCAGTGTGATAGAGATTCGTTGATATTTCGAGCTAAGTTTACCTTTTAACCCAGGAATTTGATGTGGGGACTTTTAACACCCCAGGGATTAGCCAGAAGCCCGAACTACTTTGGATTTTTGAATAACTTAGTGACCAATGTAAACCGTGAAAGTTTAAAGGAAATCGGTGAGATGACATGTGTCACGCCTGCCCGGTCCTCTCGTAGACAGCCTGACTCTTAACATGTTCATAATATCACATTGACATATTAGGAAGTCACTAAAGACGAAATGCCAGCCTGCTGCAGGACCGCGGTGAGAACGCAAGTAACGCGCGCGAGAGAGCTGACTAAAGCATTAGTGTACAGTGTTACTCAGATTTGTTACCAAAAATTTGTTCACAGTTAATGTGGATGAATTTTGGTTTTAAGATTTACCTTGTTTTCAGGAGTAATACATTTGACATGGAAAGATGGACGCAACAGACTCCAAGATCCCGAAAAACGCTGTTTCAGAATCCCATCTTGAGGATGAATTGGAATGTGATGATAATCAGTCGGCCAGACGCAGTACATTTGAACAATTTCAAGAAACGATGGATCAGTTCCAGCAATGCAAAGTGGAAGCGGCCATAGAGTCTTTACAAGCTGGGCATAAGCACTTCCTGAATCTAACCCCAGATAGCCTCGGAAACCCGACTGATTACGAAAAGGAGCTGGTGGATCGAGGAAGAGAGATGTGTTTGAGTTATTGCTCCGCTCCTCCTTTCTTTGGTGCTGTTTTGTTAAACCCCAAGCTGATCGCAGATAAGGAGGACCATTTCTATGTCAGCTTTACTATGGTTTTTGCTGCTGTTGCACTCAAGCTGCATAAATATAAAATAGCTATAGACTTATTTCAGCGATGTGATTCTCTTTACACATTTGATGCCACGCCATGTCCGAAAGACAACGAGCAAGTTATGGATATTTTAAGAGCAGTAGCTAAGGCTAATGTAGGCTACGTTTATCTGATTATGGGAGTTATGGACAACGCTAGCGATTATCTAGAATGCGCGCTGGAGATTTTTGAAACATTTAAAAACAAAAACAAAACTGACTCTCTAGAAATAAACATTGTTGCTATACAAACCAACTTAAGCTTAGCTTACCAGTGTCAGAAGAACTACATTGCTGCAGTGAAGTTGCAAGAGCGTCTTATTCTGAAGGCCAAATACCCCATTCTTCCCCCACATTTGGTAGCTGCCATACATTACAATAGAGCAGAGTTGTTCATAGAGCTCAAAGAACCTGTAAAAGCACTCATGGAGCTGAGGACGTTGGACTCACTATTTGAGAGGATGAACAACGAAGAAGCAATATTCTCGAAATTTATATCTTCAAAAATTTGTTTGGCGTATCAAAAGATTGGAGATGTGGCTCGTGCAGAGGAAATAGCGGAGCGCTTGACTTTCCCTTCCCTTTCGCCTGAATCGCTATCATCACCACTCTCGCCTTCGTTAAAATCGTTTTCGACAGCATCGGGGTCAGGGTCAGAGTCGTCATCATCATCGTCGTCGTCATCAGTTTCATCATCGTCATCATCATCTCCGTCATCAACATCGTCATCTTCATCGTCTGCTTCGTCACTAATGTCTTCATTTTCGTTTTTCTTTACCGATTTTGAAGCTGTCCTCGGATGTAATGGAAAATGCCAATGGGACTTCTTGTTCGCAACGATATTGAATTTAGTTGATTTTCACTTAAACGAAAAAAACTTAGAATATGCATCTTTCCTCGACGTTTTTGTACCAATTTGCAAAGAAACGTTAGGGAAAAACCACCCAACATATGCATCGTTTCTCTATAGGCAAGGTGTTAGATTTTTTCTGATGGAAAGAAACCTGTCATCAAAAAATTGCTTTGAAGAAGCATTAAATATTTTGACAAGTTTTGGCTACGGTTTAGATCACCCGGATTTGTTGCAATGTAACATCGCTCTTGCAAGGTTATTATTGTGCGAAGACTTTCAAGAGGTTCCTCAGTTGAAGTCGCGCCGTGACCGAAGCTGGCGAGAATTTCCTTGCGACGCAGCAGATGGAGTTGTAAGCCCTGATATTCCATCATTTAGAGAAGACAGTAACAAGTGGGACAGCAACGAAGAATTAGACGGACCAGGTAAAATTTCTGATCGAGAAAACCGTAGAGGCAAGAATTATGATCACCTTGAAAATGCACCCCAAAAGGATGAGAACAAAGGAATCAGCATCTCACAGAAGATACAGAAAACACCAAATGAAGTCAGTGGTGGACGGAATGACACTCTTAAAGCCTCTTTTCATGGAGGATATGTGGTTGCAGACAGCGGTGAAAACCCCGATGTCATTACTACAAATGGGGCTTGCGGCTTTGACAAAGATTGGAATACCCAAGCTGTTGCCCTTCCAAAAACACCAGGAGATTCCCACGGGATTAATTCGAAAACAAAAACATATTTTGGTTTGAAAGGTGGACGCCGAAGCGATCTTCCGTCAGGGCACAGCTCACAAAGGGATGCAAGTGGGGATGACTTTGGCACAAATCACATCGGAATAGATCCCAGTTTCCTCGCACGTCATTCTTATGAGTGCAATGCATCTGATGAGCGCTGGGATTCTTGTGATCCATTTGAAGATTCAGAAGTGCTTGCAGGTTCCCACTCCGAGTATACCAGATCTAGGTGTATGACTGAAGTGTACCACCTTACTTCTCCAAGTTCAACGAAATTTCCTGAATGTCGTGATTTTGCAAAAACTGTTCCAGCGAAGACCTTTGGACTACCTCAATCTTCAAGTTTCCATGAAGATGGATGTAAAGCAAATCTCCCGTTTACAAATATCTCCCCAGATGGACATGTACTCGCCGAAAGGCCGACGTTCTCATCGCAATTTGAAAGAAAAGATGACGCTCCAGGATTTCTTCCGGACGGGGAAAGTGCAGGAGCTGGTCATGGTCTGTTAAACAGTAATTCAAACACATCTGCTGACGAATCATTGGCCGTACTCGAGCAACGTGTGGCTGAAGCTTGCTGTCTTGTCGAGAAAACGTTGAAAGAAAGACAAGAAAGAGAGAAATCGATGAAAGAAACGGAGCAAAAAAGAAAAGATAAGCGGGCAAGGAAACAACAACTTGCACGTGAAAGAAAAGAAAGGGAAGCGAGGGAAGCAAGAGAAACGGAACTCAGGAATGAAAGAGTAGAGGGGAACTCCACGAGCGGTGGACAAGAAACACCTTTGCAAGACTCGGCAAGTGCTGGGGTTCGACAGTGGCTGTGTGAACATTATCAGCGGCTCTGCCGTGTCAAATTCTCATGCTGCGGAAAGTTCTTTCCTTGTCATCGTTGTCATAACAACTCTGGGTGTCCAAATGATAATTCCAAAGCAAGAGAGGCGTGCTCTGTTGAGTGCTCTGTTTGTAGCCATCAACAAGAGGTAAATAGGAATGACATTGACTTGAAATTTTGCGTAAGAGGAAAGAGAGTTCTCCCACTTAGATTATAACCGATTTAACTTCGAATGTTTGATCTTTAAGATCAACCAGGACGCCCACACCTGTGTCAGATGCAAAACAAGGTTCTCAGCATATTTCTGCTCGGTATGTAAACACTTCACAGGGGAGGATAAGGCTCCTTATCACTGCGAAAAATGTGGTATCTGCCGGTAGGTGAAACAATATTCATGACGAGTTTATCAGTGTGAGTTCGAAATTTGTTTCGCCAGCGAATCATGTTGTGCTCGAGTAAATACTTGCAAAGTGATGTTTCTATTTCCCGTTCAGTATCTACAAGGACCGCTCCTTCCACTGTGATGTGTGTAACGTCTGTCTGGACAAACGGCTGGAAGGAAGACATTCCTGCCGAGCAAATTCAGGACACGATGAGTGTTGCATCTGTTTGGAGGTAGTTACTTAATTTACATAATAAGGCTGAATAAGAAATATATTTTAAAAGGTTTTGCCGTTTAGCCAAAGCAATTAACCTTGCACTACATTTGGTTTTATTCACCTGTCACGTTAGTGACGTCAGGTGCTTGCATTTCTGGAGTCGAAATCTGACAAAAGAGAAGCAGATCACAATCCAAATGTCTATATTTTTATTTGGTTGATCGATTCTTTATTTCCAGGACGCTTTTAGCGGTTGTCAGATCCTGCCATGCTCACACAAGGTTCACCGCGAATGTGCTATTGCTATGATACAGAACGGCGTGTAAGTACGCTTAAATATCGCTATATCTGTTTTTGGAAATAAACTTAAATATGTAAGAACACTCCACCACTGCACTGACAATGTGTTGGTATTTAATTCTTGATTGGGTGTGTGTGGACCTGCTCCAGCTATGAGAGTGCACTGAGCAGTTTTCATTTGCATTTATAATAAAAAACCTCCGTGCCCTCGTAAGGAGCTTTGGTCGGCAGTGGGCGAAGTGATTTATTAACAAACAGCGATTGGTTTTCGCAATTAAAATAACTTCAGAAAAGATTGGAAACTACGTGAAGAATCAACAGTACGGACTTCCAGAGATACAGACCTCAGTTCCCGCCTACAGCTGGGAATAAGTCTGGTGAAATCGACAAATCCCGGTTAACGCCCTCATTATCCTTCTTCGTCCCCTAAGCTTTTGGTAGGTCCAAAGATTATTTCAGTTTTGGTTTTTTTACTTCATCGGTAAACTTTGAAAGACCTTTACGTTAAGTATGCCAGAATTATTGCCACATTCCCACACCAGTTTTTCTCGAGTTCACCTGAATATTTCCTTTTAATTTGCAGTCGCAGCTGTCCTATTTGCCGCCATCCTTTGTACAGTCAGACTGGAATGAATGAGTGAATTACAACCTCGACTCCAGTGTTCAAAATTCCAAAGCAAAATTGTTCCCTATTAAGATGTTTTAGATAGTGTCCTGATTGACGTATTCATTCTTTTTGTAGCCGTGAATTTAAACTTTTATCACTAACGATGACTGGTTCTTTATTTCTCCTGGCGGTATCACACTTGAATCAAATGATAAATGCAACGAGAATAAAGGCAATAATCACCAATTTAGGAAGCTATTGATTGGCAAACAAACTATCATTGTCAGTACCAGAGTACAATGTAAAAAGAACAATGTAGATTTTTAGGGTTGAAGATTGTAATAGTTATTTTAATCTTACCTGTACAAGGACGCAAACCTAATGGGAGAGGGGAAATGAAGATGGCAGGATCCCCTTAGGTCAAAGTGACTTCTATGCAGTGGCTTTTATATCCAAATTTATCGCTTTCATCTCTTAAAAGATTTGTGTAAAAGTGTGCAAGGTATCGATTAGTCTGGCGAGGAGGTGGCTATGTGTATCATAGTAGCGAAGCCATTGTATGATAAAAGTATATTTCTTATCATTGTAAGGAAACGACATAGTAAATTGTCCAAAGCCTAAGCAGCAATTAGATTTGGCAGCGGGTTGTTTTTTTTTCCGCAATCTAAAATGAAAATATGCCTCAAGGGATTTTATAACCCTTACACTTTAAGTCAAACAAAACATTTCACAGGGTGTTGTTATTAAATTCCTGGTAGTGTTTTATGGTTCTAAGAATGCTGTGTGAAATAAAGCCCCTCTACAACCTTTTTTTCATGTAAAGTTACACCAGAAGAGGTAGGAATTGTAAGAGTTTCAAGTTTCATCTTCTTTGCCTTTCGGGAGACCACAGGCGGCCCAAGCTCACGTCTCGAGAAAAAGCCAACGATGAATTCATGAACGCGTCACGCGTTGTGTGACTCGGTGTTAAGTTACGGGAGGAACCGTTGAAAATTTGAACACGTTATAAGGAATAGTATGGGGAACGAAATATGGTCGATTTACAACGATAAATATTTCGAAATATGAATATCCTGGCTGCTGTGGGGATGGGCTAAGTATTGTTCATTAATCGACCGTACCACACGCGGTAGAGAGAAAATTGACCTCGTACCCAAGTCTCTTTCGAGGCCGTGTCCAGTCTGCGTGTTTAAAGCATAACCAGAAAGAAGCGAACTTGGAAATTCAGGTAGAAAACGCTCTTTTCCAGCGAAATGCGCGTGAAGTTTTGGTATTGAGACATGTCCCAGGGTGCAGTGATCTTAGATCGTAAAGTTTGGCCGAGAAAAATGCCGATCGGGAGGATTTTCGGGGCGCAAATCACCTCCGCGTGGACCACGGTCGAAATCGGAGTGTGCAGCCTTGACTTCGTCTTTTGACATGGATAACAGTGATGGTAAAGCAAGTTTAAAACGGCAGAAATCGCCAGAAACTACGACGGATACACAGGGCATGAGTAAGTTTTATTGATTTTACGTGTAAAATATTCATATTTCGAAATATTTATCGTTGTATATCGACCATATTTCGTTCCCCATACTATTCCTTATAACGTGTTCAAATTTTCAACGGTTCCTCCCGTAACTTAACACCGAGTTACACAACGCGTGACGCGTTCATGAATTCATCGTTGGCTTTCTCGAGACGTGAGCTTGGGCCGCCTGTGGGGAGACGTGTGATAGAAATGAAGAGAAGAAAAATCGAGGTTGCTCTTGAAATTTCGGGAATCATCTATTAAGTTAGTAACGAGTAATATTGATGCATTTCTAGAGACTAAATTTACTTACTAAGCTTATTTTATTATGAACTGGTAACCTTCATAAATAGAAGGTATTTACTTTTCTTAGGTTTTGCATTTTTCATAGTTATGTAGGTCGTTTCTTATTTCATTCTAATGTAACCTTGGGATTTGAAACTTCAAGTAGCTATGCAAATCATAGCTACGCGAACATTATATCGTTTTTTTGACAGACACTAACAAAGCACCAACTGATTGTCAGGAACCGTTTCTTCCCACACCTTTCAGTTGTATTACCAGTAAAACATTTACTCAACTTTGATCTTATCATCCCTTCTTAATCTGAGGGTCTAAAAAAAATGAAAAAAAAAATGCAAAAAAATGAATTCGGACGGTTGTTAAACCGGAAAGCAAAATACAATATTTCATAGAACTGGAACTCCTTGCTTCTGCGGAAGGCACTTTAATTTTTCTTCGATTTCTGGTGATTTTTCCCTTTTGCCATTCGTGTTATCGGCAGCTAAGGATGGTTCAGAGTCTAAAACGCAATCTCCGGTTCTCATCAAGACAGAGAACACTTGTGAAGGAAGCCCTGCATTTATCTTCCAAGACAAATTAATTGCGAATTTTCTATTCGGAAAGCTTCTAAAGCAAATTTTGACCAATGAAGACGAGTTTGGTGCGGTTGTGAACGTGGTGGTTGTGAACGTGGTGGTCAAAGACAGCCAGCTCGTGTTGAAAATCCAAGGTCCACCCATAGGGCAAATAGTAATTCAGTGCCATGAAGACACCATCGAAATGAAAACCCACTTAATTCACTATTCTCAAAGCCGTAGAAAAGTTGAGATTGTTCGAGAAGTGCCACTGTGCAGTTGCTCTCTTATTGAGACGATCATCGCTGACAAAATGGAAAAATGTGCCCATAGTATTGGCATGTATTTTGAGACAAAAAATGATAATGCCTGGTATATTTCAATGAGAGTAAGTGTTTTGAATGTTGTATTCATCACCGTAGGCATGAAACTTGTTTTTCAACCATGATGGTGAATCCTTGTTATGCAACGATTCATGTACTAAAATGTAAAATCCAGCTTACCAATATAGCAAAATAAAAAATATGACAAAGTCAGAGTGAGAATGTTTTTCACCGCTTTTTCAGCTAACTTCAGGGATTTATGCATTACATTGAAGAAATCTAAAATTTGGTTGTCTTTCAAATTTAAGAACAGCTTCTTTTTGCCTTAAACCCGTAGCAGGATCAGAAGTTAATTTTTGGCTATTGTTATAGTTTTTTATTAGCTCTGTTCTTAGGAGTGCAAGCCGCTAGAAATGCAGCTTAAAGCCGAACGTCCAGGCCGTATTTCTCCTCTTCCAACCTTGCTTTCCAGACAGTCGTTCCTGTCAGAATCATCGACACAGACAGATTCCTGGAGTATTCCCTCAACATCTGACCTTAGTACTCTAATAGAGCTAGTGACTCCGATGAGTCTGAAAATCTGGTGGAGCCCACATCATCATCCAGTGAAGTAAGTATGTCACCATCATTACCTCCATCGTCATCGTCATCGTCACCATCATCATCTTCATCATCATCATCATCATCATCATCATCATCATCATCATCATCATCATCATCATCATCATCACCGTCATCATTATCATCATCATCCTCCGGTGAAGAAGGCACTGATGAGGTCCCCAGAAGGTCAAGGTCAGAGCCAGCAGAGAAAGGTAAATCATCAACGAATTCTGTCTATTCGTGTGGTTTAGAATTGGAGAAACGCGGAAGAGAAGTTCCAAACCTTGCAAATTCAGAGGAAGAAAGATCTAGCATGGCTTATCTCAGTGTTTCAGATCTAGAGTTGAAATATAATAGCAACGATGCAGAGGAAAGACGGACAAATCTACCACCACTAGTTCCGCCATTAACTTTGAAGGTTCAGACGGATGGAAAATCACCCGAGAGTAAAGAAAACCTTGAGAAGTGTATTCAAACCGATGACTGGCTAGGGCATGCTATGGGTGATGAAATAGATGGTGTAATGATAAAAGTTTCGTGTGAAAGTTCTGCAATCCAAAATTGTCATCCTTGTTACTCCTCAACGGGATCTGCTGAACCACCTTTTCAAGGGGAAGGTGGTGTAACTGACAACCTTCCACGAGTTACAGACCAGGTGGAGCGTCATGGTGGTGCCGCTGCCTCAACCAGTTGGTGCAATGATGCCACGGATGAAAACCGAAGGAATAAGGAACTTAAGTCGATTCGAAGTCACTGAAAGTTTCTTAAGAGAGGAAAAATAAGTATCAAGAGTTTCTATCGGGACGAAGTCACAACACAAGGCGTGGGGAATTTCTAAGCTTAAAGAGTGGAGGACAAGATCCATCTTTCTCAATCAGGGGCCGAGGTTACGAGAATCGCGGAACGACAAGGACGCAAAGCTTGAGCAGGTTAGACCACGAGATGATATGTGAAACACCGTAGATAAAAAAGAATCAAATTTCTTTGGTTTAAGGCCTTGCTTCCTTGCTCGTCACTCAGATGAAATTAGCATTACCACTCCTATCGATGACATGGGGAATACAGCAGAAAACGCTAATGGAGGGTCTTCCAACACTTTTTCATGGAATCAAGGGTCATCTTCTTTCACTAATGAGCAAGGCAATCAAGCTAGTTACTCCTTTCAAGCCCCATCGCTTCATTCTGAAAGTTCAAAAGTATCTGTTAACGCACAAGGTCCAAACCCTCATGGCTGCTTTGGTCCTGACCTTGCAGTTTGGGGTCTACCAGTGCCTGTTCGTCCTCTACTTTCTCTTCCCTGCAACGGATCGGAACATCTCCAAAACCTTTCCTGGGATGAACCGCGAATTGGATTGATACCTCCGCATGCTTTGATAAATGGTAACACGCCGTTGGCGCAAACATCCCTTTTACCACGGCAGAGAAACGTCAAGGATGAACGTACTAATCCTGAAGTACAACGGGAGAAAAACTCTGATTTTAAAGAGACGAGTGGACATCCTGCATTGTTGTCTAATACCACTTTAATTACACGAGGCCTGGTCTCCCCTGAAAAGGAATTTTCTGCTCTACCACAAGCAGCCGTGAACGGAAATCTAACATGAGAAACAAGAACACTTGCAGATCGGGACACTGCTAACCAAGGGCCACTGGTTGTCTTGAAAGAAAATTCGTCTCTCTCAAAAACCTTGAAAGAAAGGGAAGTTAAAGAAAAGGCAATGAAGGAAAAAGAGCGAAGAAAAAAAGAAGAGAGGACCAGGAAAGAACAACAAGCACGTGAAAGAAGAGAAAGGAAGGCAAGTGTAACAAGGCAAACGGAACACAGGAATGACAGTCAAGATGTTAGGAACCCGACGAGTGGTGTAGGAGAAACACCTACGCAAATCTCAGCTGGTGCAGAGTGTCGACAATGGCTGTGTGAACATTATCAGCGGCTCTGCCGTGTTAAGTTCCCATGCTGCGGAAAGTTCTTTCCTTGTCATCGTTTCCATAACAACTCTGGGTGTCCAAATGATAATTCCAAAGCAAAAGAGGCGTGTTACGTTGAGTGTTCGGTTTATAGCCATCAACAAGAGGTATTTAGACTCATCATTTATTTAAAACTTCGTAAGTGTGGAAATGGAGTAGTTACATTTAGCCTATACGCGCTTTGCTTTTAATGTTCTCTTCTTTTTTAAGATCAACCAGGACGCCCAAACCTGTGCCAGATGTAAAACAAAGTTGTCGGCATATTTCTGCTCTGTGTGCAAACACTTCACGGGCACAGACAAAAATCCATATCGCTGCACAAAATGTGGTATCTGCCGGTAGGTGAAACGTTATCTATGGCGAATTTGCTCGGTTTTCGTTTGTCGGATGATATTCTTGATTTCCAAAAGAATAAGAGAGTAATTGGCCTGCTTTAATAATAATAATAATAATAATAATAATGTTTATTTCTTATATTGCGCAGTCTAGCATGCGATAAAGATATAATCGAGTGCGCATTACAACACTAAAATCTTAAAGTAATAAATGGCTAGTCCAGATAATGATAATAATAATAATAATTTACAATTTTCGGAAAACAATAAAAGTAAAATATAAGTTAATAAAAGAACTAATAAAAAGCTAATTTAAAAAGATGTGTCTTTAGTAAAACTTTAAAAATGTTCAATGACTGACATTGTCTAATTTCTAGAGGGAGTTGATTCCATACTTTGGGCGCAGCATTTTCAAACGCCCTATCCCCGAGTGTCTTTTTTGTTCTATAGGTATTGTCCATTAGGAGTATGCCCCGGTATGATCTCAACTGATACCGCGAGCTCTCTTTGATTTTTATCAAGTCTGAAAGATATTGTGGTGCGACACCGTAGATACATTTGTGAACTAGCATTGCTATCTTGAATTCTATTCTGTGGGTAACCGGAAGCCAGTGCAGGTTGATCAGGGATGGTGTGATAGGATCATACCTAGATATAGTACATACCAGCCGAGCACCCGCGTTCTGCAGGCGTTGCAGCTTACCAAGATGACCAGCGGGCGTACCATATAATAAACCGTTACAATAGTCTAATCGTGACATTATAATAGCCTGTACAATGGACTTCCTATTATCATATGATAAATACTTTCTAATACGCCGGATGTTATGTAGATGGTAATAAATATTCTGACATATGCTGTTAATATGTGTAACAGAGTAAACCGCAGAAACCTTTACCTTACCTACTTGCAAGTCACTTATCATAACCTTATTTAACTGTGCGCGTGTACCTATAATAAGAAACTCGGTCTTAGCATCGTTCAGCCGAAGTTTGTCTTGGACCATCCAGGTTCTTATGTCCCTGATGCAAGCTTGTAGAGCGTCAACAGCATCCGTCTCAGTAGCAGAACCATCCGGCTTAAATGAGATATAGAGCTGCGTATCATCAGCGTATGCGTGAACGTTAGGGAGATGGGATTCAACAACATCGAAGAGCTTACTTGCGTACAACGTGAAGAGCAAGGGACCAAGACATGATCCTTGAGGTACCCCTTGAGGCAGATCAAAGTCACTCGAATAGCTCCCGTTAATCAGGATTCGCTGTTTCCTGTTTGATAAATACGAGTGAAACCATTTAAGAGCGGTACCTGTAATTCCATACGTCACGCACAGGCGATTCAACAACACTTGGTGGTCAATCGTGTCAAATGCTGCACTCAGGTCTAGCAATACCAAAAGAGTAACTCGTTGATTGTCCATTGCAGCTAGTATGTCATTCTGTATCTTCAATAGGGCAGTCTCTGTGCTATGACCAAGTCGATAGGCTGACTGGAGGATGGGATACAAACCCGACTGAGTAACGTGATCGGTTGTCTGATCATAAACTGCACTTTCAACCAATTTAGAGAGGTATTGCAGATTACTCACAGGTCTTAAATTGGATAAGGAAGTCCCTTGCTTGGTCTTCTTCAGTCTTGGATCCACAAGGGCCGTTTTCCAATCAGATGGAAAGTGTCCCAAGGAAAGTGAAGAATTCACGACATTGGTGATGATGGGGAGAAGCATATCGGACATGCCGACTACTAAATTGGTCGGCATAGGATCAAGTTGACAGCTTTTCTTCGATGATCTACTGACCAGCTTCCTTATATCTTCCACAGAATACGTATTGAAATGATCAAGTTTCCTATCGCCTGTAAACACTCTATCCTCAGCCACCGCCCCAGGATGAAGAGTACACGCATCAAGCTCTGCCCGAATCTTTGCAATCTTACGGTCGAAAAACCGCCCGATATCGTTGGCTAAGATTGAGTTGTCCGTGTATTCTGGAAAACACAACTCATTCCTAGGAAGTAACAATGATCGAGTGGCCCTGAATAGCTTTCCTTGGTTTTCACTATTGTCGTTCACAAAGTCTGAGTAGAAAGCATGCTTAGCCCGTGTACTTAAATAAGTAACGTGGTTCTTGAGTTTCTTGAATGCCAACAAATCTTCCTGTGATCGTGTTCTTCTCCATCTCCGTTCTGCTTTCCGGCGTCGCCTTTTTGCCTCGGCTATCTCTCTGGTATACCAGGGTACCTTGGGCCTAGCCCGCACTGTTTTGGTTTTTAAAGGTGCGTGACGATCAAGAACTTGAGAGAGTGTGGTCGTGTAATCCTCTACAAGTACATCCAAATCCAGTGGGGTGATGGGATCGCTATTACCTCGATCACATAGCCCTGTAAGTACTACATCGTTCGATAGGCTCTCAGCGTCCAAGGATTTAGTTTTCCTAAACTTTATTATCCTAGTCTGAAATGACGGCTTACTTATGGCAACATGACAATGTACAGCTGCATGATCGGAGAAATAGCGACAGGCGCGTGGTGGACTCGCCAGAATACCCTCAATCTTTCTTGTTATAACAAGATCCAGGGTGTGACCACGTATGTGCGTTGGCTCTGTCACATGCTGCTCCAAACCGAGAGACTCAAGCAGATCTAAAAACTTAAGTGCATCAGTGTCATTAGGAACATCCACATGTATGTTGTAATCACCAACGACAATCAAAGGCTCTTTGGATAGAATAGAGGACTCCATCAGGTCAGAAAACTCCATCAGAAAAGTGTTAATGGGAACCCTGCGGTGTTCATCACAATTCTGTGGACGGTAGACGATCACAAGCCGTATCTTGCGGGAAGTCCACGTTTGGACCAACAACTCGCAAAATTCAAGCGACTCTTGAATTCCATCTCGAGTCGTGCTAACACGAAGTGAATCCTTGTACAGTAGTCCAATGCCTCCACCTGTCCGTTCTTGTCGTGGAAAGTCAATAAACTTGTAACCAGGAGGACACAGTTCTATTCTTAGCGCATCATCATGGGGCTGGAGCCACGTCTCGGTAATCACAACCAAGTCATATCTACGTTCACAGACGTAATCTACAAAATCGGCTGTCTTGTTGCGCACCGACTGGGCATCCATGTGACAAAATGACAAAAAGACCCCATTTACGTAGTTGGCAGACAAACAATGCACTTTAGTAAAGTTTGAGACATTCCTAGTTGTTGATTTAGACAATGAAGAACGTGATTGAGGCGCCCGTAAAGTTCCATTATTTTGATGGCGTGATTTCACAATTGTTGATATATCGCATCCCTCAGGACCAGGATTAAGTTTGAAGACCAGATCGCCAATTAGCACTTGATGGAATGAGGCACATGAATTTGCATAGTAGGCTATTGGACACCTGTGCCTACGTAGGCGTAAGCGACATGAGAAATCAAGCATATTCAAAATTCCCAGGAACTCGG